TTAAGTCTGAAGTCTTTTTTCAGGAGATTTTGAGGACAGCAAAAACACAGCCACTCCACTCACTTAATTTCTGAATAATTTGTTGCGTTTACACCAACTATCTTAGGCAGCGATGAGATGTGCCAATGTGGTTGCCGTGGGTGGTGCAGCCTGCACCCCTTGCTGGAAGCCTGGGTGTCTGACCTCCAGGCTTTGGAGGCTGCTCCATTGGTTCGATACGCGGTCCTGGACATCCAGGGTGATTGGCCAGCATTTTTACAAGTATTTGGGCTTCGGTAATGGAGCCACAACACCCATCCATGTCCACTTTGTCGCATTGATCAGAACCAGCTACAGGAATTGAATTTGAACCATACAACTGTGGATTCGATGCCTTTCGAGCAGTATACAACCAGTGACTATCTGCAGGATCTTGATCAAAGCGTTAAAGCCCCTTGGATCCCAACGAAATGTTTTCAAAAATGTTTGGTTACAAATGGGTTGTTTTGCTATCCACAAAGTTTGCCAAACAAATGGAATTAAATCTCGCTGAGGTATTGGACGTCAGCACAATTGAGATGCGAACCAAGATCTATCAGAAATTGCAGTACAAGAAAAAGTACCGGGGCCGAACCCTTGTGAAAGACTTTTTTCAGTCGGCTGATGCCTACACCTACTCTGCCTGATGTAGCTGCATTCGAATTCACAGATGTGCCATTTCAATGCCACTGGTGGGCGGGGCATGTAGATGGAAGGCTACTACACGATTGCCCTTTGCTCAAACTAGCTGGAGTTGGGTTGCAGACATGGAGCCTCGACATTCTCCACGGCTGGCATCTAGGCCCTCTACAGTTACTTGTTAGCTTAGCTCTGAATTATTGTCTTGACTCCAATTTGTGGGCACCGCAAACTGATGGTCTGGATGCTAAAGACAAACGCCACCTGTCACTTCTCGCTATCAAAGCAGAACTGTTCCAATTCTACAAAGAGAAGCGGAAGGATCCAGATTGGGTTGGGAAATCTTCGGAAGCCCTTTGGTTGGAAAGTAGGTTCAACCTTTCTCATTGCCCCACAAATGTTTGAGAAAGAATGCTAGTCAGGATCCTCATGTAAATATTTTCCTTGGAGCTTAAACCCACCAAAATGATCTTATGGGAATGACTGCATTCTTAATACTAATTATTTGTCTTTAACCCTTGAAGGTCTGGAACCTGACTTTGACTATGCTTGGCACCTACGACAATCCGAGCCTGCATGCGAAAGCTGCTGAATCGCATGGTCTCGCAAAGTTTGTTTGCCACCTGCTTGAGACGCACATGGATACTTTCACATCCCGGATGCCAGAAAACATGGCAAGGAAGGGGAAATATCTTTTTGAGGCTGCAAAAGCAGCAAACAAACTGGATACAGTGTTTAGTGCTGAATCTAGAACGTTTTCAAGAAAACAAGTGCAGGAAGCATTGGGGACATACCTTAGGTTTTTGCGGTTCTACAGCAAAGCTGATGGACCCACTACCCCAAAGTGTCACTTTATGATTCACCTTATTCAGCGTGCGCTTTTCAAAGGAAACCCACGCAAATACAGCACGTACAGGGATGAATCCTTCAATGGATTAATAGCCAAGATTGCAAGGGCATGCCACAGGAGGACTTGGGCAAATGTGATTCACTGGAAACGCCAGGGTTTGCACAAGAAGCACCGCGATCTGGCTACCGCCAAGATGTTTCAAAAAAGTCGCTGACTACATTTATCGTGCTGAGAATCGAAACTTTGTGTGGGAATCCCTACTCATTAGAAATTTGTTGGTTCCAATTGGCTGGCTGCCGTCCCATAACATCTCATATCGAAGCTCTGCCCCAAGCCTGCCTAGGGTAGCGAAAGCATCCATGCCATGTCATTCGATCACAATGTTCGAATAGTTTTTCCTGAAGATTCTACTTTCGATGCTTTAAAAATTTAGATGAGATCCGTACAAGGGTCCAGGATTTCAAAGGGCCGCCGGACCTGCAATCACTAGATCTCTTTGCGGGGTCTGGAAATTTTGAAGCCCAATGTGAGAAGAACGGATTGACATCTGCTGGCTACGATATTCTGAGAGATCCCACCAACAACAATCTGCTTACTAAAGAAGGATTCTTTCAGGCGCTCCTTTTGGTTCTCTCTCTGGTGCCTGGCCGATCAACTTGGCAGTTGTTTAATCCCCGTGGTGGTGTGTTAATTGGCTAAGAAATGTTCCTGTTAAAAACCTTTTTTTTACAACTGTCGCTGCCCGCCCCAAGGTGGAACGTGGAGTGCTTATGTCTGGGTCACCGTGTGGACTGTTCGTCTTCATTGCCAGCTCATTTCATATGAGGTGCCTGTCATTCCCGTACGGAAATCAAATGCGAGCAAAAGTGAGAGATGCCAACCAGCTGATTGTGAATCTGGTGGTTTTGCTGGCAATAGCGCATTCCCGCTCTATCTTTATCGTGTGCTTTGACAGCACTTTGATGTTTTTTTTGGGGCTGGCTATTCCCTATATATATTCCAAAAAAGGTGATCCTTTGCAGTCTTTTCCAAGCACAATCCTTTGAGCCACAGTCAGGATGGAGCAGCCTGCAAGCAGCGTGCTTTGGATTTTCCCTGAGCTGGCACGATTTCTTCTGGCAATCGATGCTGTCAGAATCCACAGTTGGATGAAATGTTTTGGACACCCTTTACCAAAACCGTCCGTGTTTATGGTAAACATCATCGAGGATGTGATGAAACCGTTAGAGCGGACCTGGTCGAAAAAACTCCAGGAAAAGTGGGACAAGATCCAAACAAACATTTTACTTGGTATTCCAGGAGTACGTCGGATGCTCTTGAAAAAAACCAGCATTTGGGCAAACGATTGAGTTTTCTTGGGAGCGTCATCCAGAATCTTATATATATATATATATAGATTATATATCTAGGTATATAGACGTATATATGTATGTATACATATGTATAAATATAAATATATATATATATATGTAAATAAGAAATAAAGACACACATATATATATATATATATATTTATATATTTACTTTCCCCATTTTTACACAGGTAAAGTTAGGGTGATTTGTGTGCGCCCCAGGTATCTGAGAACGGCGATGAAATTCCGAAAAAAAATCCTTGAGAAGAACCAGAAGACCTACTACTTCAAACATCGGTCCAAGAGCAAACGTCGGTTATTTGTGACGGGAGGTTCCCACCTCAAAGAATCTGGAATCTACACCCCTGCTTTCTGTCAGTGTGTCATTGATATTTGGGCGGCAGCATACCACAAGCAAGACGCAGCATTCACGAAGAAACCCATTGCCTACAAAAAACTTTGGGATACTTCTTTTTCCCGAAGTGTGGTTCGAGAGGATCTGGTCTGTGCTGAAAATGTTTGAGATTTGAAACTGTGTTTAAAAGATGCCATACAAATAGCAACCCTCCAAATGCTAGAGCTGGAACCCTGGCACCAGGAACCCTCCAGTGTGGTGGCTGGCATAAACAGCACTTTGGAACTTCTGGAAAATACGCTGGCTGTGTTAGATTGAGATCTGACACATGGAGCGCCGGAGAAAAACAAGAGTTATCAGATCTGGCCATGTGGCCATGGGTGGAAGGGTGGGCGTTTCCCAGAACCACTGATTGACCTACATACGTAGACAGACACACGTGCGTGTATTTTGCTACATATAATACATATATATATATGAACACACTAAATAGTTCAACAAAGGAAGTTTAGTTCGCAAACTTCTGAGTTATGGACGAAGCATTCCCACCATCATCTCGACCACATCATCATGTCAACCACCCATCATCAAGTAGTTGGGAAGTGTAACAGCTCGGAGGCATGAACCAGTTCAAGAAGTCCCTGAAGAAAAAGGTGAAGAGGGTTGTGATTTCACGGGTGAAAACATTCTCGGGCGCGAAACCGTTTCTACGCGCGCACTTGCGCCAATAAAAGATGGGCCCTTAAGCCGTAAGTGGAAGAGCGCATGTGTTCTGTCCAAAATGGAAAGTTCAAGCAGTTTCGTGTCCGTTGTTGGACGATGTCACTGCAAACTGATAGCCCCTGTTGTTGATTGCACACTGTGCCAACTAGGCCATCAAGGCATGCAATCCAAAAAATGGATCTCGGCGATCCAATTTTTAGATCTAAAAATGCGATACAAAAAATGGATTGCGTTGAGGGTCTGGGTAAACTCACTGCGTGATACCTTGTTCCGGAAGATTGAACACTCGAAGCTTATGCATTTCGATATCAGCCGATATCGCACCTTTGATGAAGGGCATCATGAAAAGACCTATGATTTCCTGATTAACATGATCAAAGGGTACATCGCTAGAGGGAAACAAGAAAGACTGTTGAAAGAAAGAGAGCGTGCAGTTAAGATGTCATTGACCTCTAACAAGACTACACCAGCCTTGGAAGACGCCGGAAAGCCTGCCGCTCCCACCAAGACGAAGAAGGAAGACGTAGCAGCTGCCTCATCCAACGATGATCCTTCTAAAGTGAAGCCCAAAGCCAAGGCGAAGAATGAAGCTGCTTCCGTACTTCCAACACCTTCTCCGAAGTCCCATGCCGACAAGAACAACAAGAAAGGCAAAGGTAGAGGCGGGAAGGGAAGATCGTCATCACCCGTTGACAAGAAGAAGATCTTTTGCAATTACTTCTTCAATAAAGGTGGATGCAACAAGGGTGACAAATGTCTCTACAGTCATTCTCAGAAAGTCTATGATGCCAAAATGAAAGGAAAGAAAGGTAGAAGCCGAAGCAGAGATTCATCAGGAGGGAGAAGTAAGGGAAGTTCTTCATCTGCTGGACCTAAGAAGAGAGTTTGCTGGCAATGGCAGAAAGGTACCTGTACGTTTGGAAGCAAGTGCAAATTCCTACATGCAGACCAATCACCGTCAGCATCTTCTGAAAGAGCCAGTAACAAGAACAAGAAGAAGAAAGCTACTCCCATTACTATCGATTCCTTCTTTGATAGCGACAATGAAGATGCAATGGATTATTCCTCGCCGAGGGTAGCCAGCGCAAAGAAGTCTTCTGATGTTCGCAAGATCACGTTTGACCTGGAGCCTGAAGTGCATAAGATTCCTATCAAAGACTACCCGGAGGGATTGCCCAAGCGCATCTATCGTGATTCCAACAAGCCCTATATTCTCAGGAAGATCGATGATCTAATTGATGACCAGTCCAAATCCGACAACACTCTTGGTTCAACTCGGGCAAGGGCTCGAGTTATCATTATGGACAACTCTGGATTCCATCGTGATGTAGATGAAGTGAGAATCATTATCGGCCCGAAGTTCGACATGTTGGTCAGATTGGACACTGTCAACGATGATTTAATCTTCATGGAGGAGCTTGTTGAACATGAAAATGAAAGATCCCTCAAGAAATCCAAGAATCTCATGTGCATTTCACTACCAGTACAAGCCAAAGATCGCAGATTCATTCTTGACTCTGGTAGCGGACACGATCTGATCTCTGCACGAAAAGCCGATAGAATGAACTTGAAGAAACGAACTTGTGATCCCATCATGTTCCACACTGCGAACGGTTCAACTGCTACACAAACAGAAGCCGAGATTGACTTGGGAACCTTTGACATAACGTCACAAGCCTATGTCTTAGATGACACTCCATCGGTGATGTCTCTTGGGAAACGATGTATGGGAGAAGGATATTCCTTCGTGTGGCCTTCTGGGAAAATGCCATTCATGATCACGAAGAATGGGGGACGTATCGACTTGACAATCCACGACAACATCCCCTACGTTGGTCTTGGGACATATGAATGCACTCCATATGAATGTCATCAAACGTCGAAGATCCATGACCTACTTGAACACTTTCAAGACAGTCTCGACAATTTCGATGACTTGGATGAGATTGGCCGAACATCTCGAAGAGTATCTTGATGGAGAAAGTGGTCTTGAGATGTCAAACAATGGTCAAGATGATTCCCAACATGTCAAGAAGCTCAAGAAGAAGAAGAAAGGAAGAGCAGCAAACCGACGAAGACGAGTGGCATCACCTGGAGAAGAAGCCCCACCTGAAGATGGTGAATATGAACCAGGAACTCCATTTGATTGTCCTCCAGATGGTGAAGAAACCGACTTTGAAGATGAAGGACATGGAGCTCCTGAAGAAGCCGCTGAAGGTGATGAAGATGACGTCGAGATAGATGTTGTTGAAGGTGAGTCCAGGGTCGCCAAGAGAGGAACACTCAAAAGGGAAGCAAACAGTTTGAATCACAAGTTGACTCACAGATACAAGAATCCATACTGTGACTCATCCATTCGCGCAAAGATGAAACACTTCAAGACTCGTCGTGGTGCATACAAGAGGGAACTCAAGAAGTTTGGCGACCTCATTACCTTTGATGCCGTCGACACATCCAAAGTCCATGACGATGTGTTGGTTCTTGAAAAGTAAGTGTTGGTCGTCAGAGATTGTTTTACAGGAATCATTGATGCTTATCCGTCTGATAGGATGACCAAGGACGATGTGGTCAGAGCAGTGAAGCAGTTCATCGGCGCCAAGAAGGTTAGACAGGCCTATTCTGATCATGCTCCACAATTCATCGAAGCCATGAATGAGATGAAGATTCCAATTGATCATTCATTGCCTGGAAGACCTCAAACAAATTCCATCGCCGAAAGAACGAATCAATTCATCGTGACTGCTACTTCTACATGCCTATTGGAAGCCGGATTACCACCATGTTTCTGGAGAACTGCAATCCTTTGCGTATGTCATTTACTCAACGTAGAACCCAACGATGATGAGCTTAGTGCTTGGTGTAAACTCCACGGAACCGACTTTGCTGGAAAACTCATTCCCTATGGTGTGAACTACAAACCTCCGAAGACCAGAGAGGCAGGACAACTCCACAAGTTTGGGCCTGACTCTATTCCAGGAGTTTTCGCAGGATATCACATTGGTCCTGGGATGCATTGGTCAAGACAATAAAAAGTATGGCCACTAAGTGAGTTTGTACATCAGAACCTTGGTGATGATGCCAGCAAGCCGGAACATCGTCTTCTCAAACCTCATTTGACCGAGAAAGTAGAGATGGTTACTCCATTGACATTCCCATGCGAGCAAGAGTATGAGAGAGTGAACACCACTTTGGAAGGAATGAAAGAGAAAGAACTCCTTGATGGTGATCCTTCCAGAATACCTCGTGATGATGATGAGGAACACGTACATGATGAAGATGATGATGGGCTTGATGACGGAGACGATGGTGGACCTGGACCAAGTGGTGGCAAAGTGTCAAAGAAGCCTCATGAAGCCCCCAAGGGTATCTTCGATGACAAAGACCCAGAAGAAATGACTCTACAAGAGCTCATTGATGTCCAACCAGAACATTGGAAGATGGGCAAAGCTGGGGATGGGAAGGTATACTTCAATGATGATGGCGAGAAGGTCAAATTGAACGTCAAAGGAAACCCGTACAAGATTGGAGAAGATGGTAGAAGACTATTCAAGACATCATTACGACCCAAAGGGACCTATTCTCCTGAAGAGTGGCGTAAACTATCTCAATCTGACCGGAACACCATCCTCAAGGCCGAGAAGAAGAAGTTGGAAAAGAAAGAGGCCGATGAGAAGAACAAAAGAAAGGTAGAGGAAGTGAAGAAGAAAGCACTGAAGAAGGAGAAGAAAGATTCAAAGAAAGACAAAGGTAAGTCAAAGTCCAAAGACGATGACGAGAAAGACGATGAAGGTGGGCAGGACGATCCGCACTCAAAGTCGAAGAAACCCGATGCAGGTGTTGGTGAGGTGATGAAGAACAAAGTTACTTTGCCTATCACATGTACGAGTGCATACCTTGATATGTACGACGTCGTGGATGATGATGAAGTCCATGGAAAACGATATGTTGATTGTCGAAAAGTGAGAAGGAGTGCCGATGCAAGCCCATGTTCCGATGCTTCTACTGACGTCCCGGACGACGAGGAATATCTCACTGAATGGGACGAATGGTCGGAGGTCGAGAAGGGCCGTGGTCCGAAAGCATCGTGGAGTGGTGAAGTTTGGAACACTTTGTCTGGTTTGATCTCGAAGTCTTCCACGGCAACGCCGGGTGAATCGACCATGATCAAGAATGGCAAATGTGTCAACGTCAAGAACAAGAAGAACACAACCACTGACGATGATGACGATCTCATCGCATTCCCAACTATGCCGTGTACCTCTGCATCCAGTAACATCCATCGAACCAAAGTGCCTCCAGAAGGCCTGGGGGGAAAGCTCTTCAATGCCATGGTGTCACGTCCAGTTGTCAGGGCAGAGATTGAGCCCAACCCCAAAGCTAAAGAAGCTATGCTAAAGGAATGGAAAGGACTTCGAGATCAAGAAGTGTTTGATTTCTCAATGGTTCGTGAGTATGACGATGTGGTCGCAGAAGCCAAGAAGGACAAGAAAGAAGTTCACATGGCTAGAGTTCATGGTATTGCGTTGAAAAGAATTACCAACTACCTGAAGGTAATCCTGGTCGAAAGTTCAAAGGAAGAGGTGTTCTGCTGGGTA